CTAATCCCCAAAAGGCCGGTAACGCACTTGTAAAGCCTCTGGTGTTCCTGGTGTCCATAGGTGACGCCGATTGCTTACCACCAGGAGATCCGTCTGCTCGTTTACCGGCTAATGACATAAAAAAGAAGGTGTCTTGAATTTAAATTTTTAAATTGAGCAGTGTTGTTTTAAAATTCCCAGTAAGTTGGTTGGCTACATTGTGGTGTGCATGTGCACGTGCTAGTCAAGTCATCTTATTATGAGTACCTGTCGTGTCCTGAAACGAATGAGCACCTTCCTTGAAATTAATACGTACCGTAAAATGTTGTGGTGTCCCGGAGGTTCAAGACGCTCGCTTCTCATGCACGAGGGTTCGAAACCTACCAACGGCAAGTACCAATGTGACTTTTTCCGAGTTATATGTACTTTCTAAGATTATTTAGACACCACTGACAAACGGTGTAGAAAACATTGTGAGGAAATCTGAATTTATAATTTCTAATTAAGTTTGAAATCGTCAACCCACATTGAGCAAGCGTGTTGATTAATGCTCAAACCTTCTACGTGGGAGAAGAGGCCTTTGGTCAGCAGTGGCCACTTATAGGCTGTTGATGATAATGATGATAATCAAGATGACCACATGGAAAATTCTGAAGATGTTAAACCTCACCCATCCACAAAGCAACCGCGTCTAGCGTAGCTTAACCTGATTCACAAGCAAGTATTTAGTCACAATGTCTCCAACATCTATTACACGGTGGTAATCACAAATAACTTCACGCCGTGTTTACTCCACAACAAGGTAAGCAGGTGAGCAAGGCATCTTATAGATACAATCTAATTATTAACAATTAACACAAATGTCGAGATTTGTGTCAGTGTGTTTGTCATTTTACTTTTGTTTTAAATATAGCTTAGAAATTACTAGAGTGACAAATAGTTCAAGTTTCTTTGCTTTCAGTTTGAGTAGGACACAATAATATGGAGAATCCATTTTTTTTTTAGTGGGAAATATCATCGAATGGCTGCTCCCGCCCGGGTGAGGCGGGAGGGAGTGTCAGACTCTTACTGACTAAAAATCACCCCGTTCCTTCTCCTGCACGTCGAGCCGGAGCCCCGGTTACCCGTTAAGTTCTCCGCGACAATGGAGAATCCATTAGGTTTCAGTTATAGATTTGAATGTTCAAAGAAGCCTCATTGGTCGAGGGAGCAAGGAGTTTGGGTTGGAAAAACAGGTGTTACTCCACCTGTTTTTCCAACCCATTCGATTTTTCAAAATTCTTACCAATATAAAATAATAATAGTTGCAGGTGCATCTGGAAATCATTAGATGAGAATGTACTGATTCATCAGAAAAAGAGGAAGGCTGTTTCCAGTAGTACCTAAGTGATCCTAGGCTAAAATCATAATGATGATGATGACCTATTTTTTTGAGGGGGGAAAATACTTCGAGCCGGAACCCCGGCAACCCGTTAAGTATTCCGCAGCTATGTGGACGCACCCTAAGATCTGACTAAAGATCTACTCATGTGACAGAAGTTAGGTTGAGCAACAGCGCACTTTAATGAACCTAAACCTTTTAAATCCCATCTGCTTTGTTTAATTCTTCCTCCCGCCTTAGATGGGGTAAGAGAGAGAGAGAGAGAGAGAGTATCATACTCTTACTGACTCAAAGCCACCCCGTTCCGATTCCCGCTTTAAGTCAGAGCCCTGGTAACTCGTTAAGTGATCCGGGCACCTCGAATGGTAGAGACTATGACATGATAAATACTCTAATGTAGAAGAGGTCAGACTGCGTCAGACAATCCACAAACAGAGAGAGATGGCGGGAGAACGTGAGGAAAGCTGTATGGGCCTCCAACACAAATTGGGCCGCCTCAACGTGACCACGACCGCTCTGCCAAGAGCGAAACGACAGAGAAGAAAAGAAGAGGAGGTCCAGTGTCCAGCAGTGGACTATCTTCGGCTATTGATGACGATGATAATCTCAGCTCATTTGAGGAACAGCACGTGTAATGCCATGAACTACATTCAGCAGGTGATTTTTATTGCTTATGTAGTTGATTTTAAAATACGATTACTTATACAGCTTTTTGTAACAAGTTGTATAATATATATCTAATGTCATATTTTATTATTTGAATGTGTATGTTTGTTTGTTGACTGCCTCGTTGGCCGAGTGGTCGCAAGTGCGACTGCCGCAGCCGGGCAAGGGGTCTCGGGTTTATTCCCGGGGTTAGCAAAGTATTATTGGGTTTTAAAAAAATTCTCAGTGGTAGCAAGGAGTATGGAATTGTGCCCGGTATATGGCAATAGGCTCACTCCTAATACATGGGACTCCTAATACTCCTAATGCAGGTAACCTCACTCACAAGTCGAAACACAACGTAAGCGTTGTTTCACGTCAATTTTCTGTGATACCTCCGGTCGAGCCAGCCCATTCGTGCCGAAGCATGACTGTCCCACACTTGAAACTATTAACTAACTTACTTCTTCGTTTAAAGGCTGTTAAGGCAAAGCCATAGGCAGTTCCATGTTTATTTAAAATTGCTAATTAATGCAATGACTAATTACGCTATCATAGCTTAATCAGCCATATTTGCTTTCATGTCTAAACCAGACATTTTTTACTGATTAAGAAAAGTAAGTAGGTTACCTAGCAATGGGCGCATGTACTAATCTGCTGATCTTATATTTTTAGCTGGTCTGATGATTTTTACGTAACACATGTCATAGTATTGCGACTGTGTTTCGTTAAAGGATGAGGCAGTGGAGTAACTATCCTTACTTAATTAATATTATAAATGCGACAACTTGTGAGGAAGTTTCATGAAAAGTCTTTTTTTAAGGGGGGAAAATCATCGAATGACTTCTCCCGTCCGGGTGAGGCGGGAAGGAGTGTCAGACTCTTACTGACTAAAAACCACCCCGTTCCTAATCCTACACTTCGAGCCGGAGCCCCGGTAACCCGTTAAGTTCTCCACGGCTCCGTATCGGTATCAGCCCTATAGGGCCCCATCCATGTTGGTCTGATGTCTCTTCGAGGCGCGCGTGGAACACGACGCCCCGCACGCTCGGGTCTGGTACAGGTTGGGCGGCGGGTCCTATACTGTCTTTACCAAGATGTGGTCTACATTACTACTTCAATTTGTCTATCCTCTTTCTTATTTTGTTTAGTTCTCAGTTTTATTACTTAAGTTTGGCATATTGCTTTGGTAATGCTAATATAATGACAAAACTGGTAAATAGTCACGTATTAATGACAAAACTGGTAAATAGTAAATAGTGACTTTATTTTATGTTATTTTGCCCTATGTCAAAATATTATTTTTTCTCTATTGACTAGGCACTATTATTGTTTTCTAGTTATTATAAGTTTAGACTATGTAATGATGTGTATGTTGCGAAGCTATGGCTTAAGGCTGTGTTTTCTTGTCTGTTACTTATAAACCCTGCAGGGTCTCTTTTTAATAGCTATACTTGTATATTGTATTGTACTAGTGTGTAGGTATATATTATTACAATTATGTTTATCTGTGAAATATGTAAGTGTATCTTCTATTTGCTCAATTATATCGTTGCTTGCTTCTTGCTCCTACCATTCACTCTTCTCTGCATCACCCCAAGGGTCAGACTGGGAGAAAATGCCTGCGGCATTAAGTCCTCCTTATGAACACTTTGTGCATGCAGTGTTAATAAATAAATAAATTTTTTGTAGGAGGTATGTGTGCATATTTGTTCTGCATCATCATTGTTTATTAGGGTTGTAGAAAGGAAATAAAATTCGGAAATAATTGTAATGTACACAATTTATTCATATCGTATAGTGTTCTTATACAAAGATAATAAATTGTAAAATCCTCTTTCACGGTCCGAACAATAAATAAATACTTAGTATACCATCTTCTCAGTCCTATCACATGCCCTTTAGAGCAATACTAGGAGTAACATTTACAATATTTACTGAAATACTTGCCAACTAGCATCTCTTAGGATTCGATACATTTACAAATTTAATCTTGTGTCTACCACGAGTTCGTTACTCACTACAACTCGAAATCATCTCGCTGTTACACTAATTTATCAACTACCATTCGCTTTTCAAAAGGAAACGAATAGATCTACCAATCGAGGTGCGAGTGAGTCACGAACCCGTAGTAACGACCATGGTTCTCGAAAGATGAAATGGCCATTTTCTTTTTTACTAATAAGTGTACAAAAATATTCCTTTATGTAGCTATTTATAAAGGTAGGTATGTATTGTAAAAGGCACTGGTATTCTTGTTTTTGTTATATTTATCAATACATCTGTCGTATAGGATTTAATGTATGTAGTACTATTTAATGTCTTACATAGTATTTGCGATTTCTCACCAGTTAACCAGAGGACCTATCTTTTTGGTTCAAAACTTAACGGGGCAATCCGAAATGAGAAATATACATTAATTTTATAAATAACCATCTAAGTTGGACTTAAATTTACTTAGATCAAAGCTTACAAACTACTTATAAGAACATAGTCTTTAGCCATCGATTTTTCACTATCGAGTCTTCGAAAAGATGAAACAGATCTACTACTTTAACTTAATTACATATACATACATAGCTCATCACTAAAAATGCATTTTTTATATCCTATCACTGAGTAGACAAGTTTAATCTGTTCGAAAAGTCTGTAAACCGAACATAATTAGTCTCATTTTCATATAAAAGGGTCCAGGAGGCGCGTCTACGACGACCTGCCACTACTTCTGCCTACCCTACACGAGTACATACTATACATCGACCACGACAGACAACTAATAGGAAGGATTACAAATAGGCGTCGGCTTAGCCGCTTACAGCTGCACAATATGATACAAATATAATATTCATCTCTTTACAACGTGGTAACTTCATCTACTGGGAGGGGAGACAGTTTGTACGAGCGAGTGCGACGCTGAGCGCAGGGCGCGGGGCGCGGGGCGCGGCGCGGGCGCGGGCGGGGGCGGCTGCGCGGTCCAGGCGCAGGCGGCGGCTGCTCAGTGCTCGTGCGCGCGCGCCTTGTTCTGGTGCATCATGTTCTTCAGCGTGGCCACCTCCGTCGCCAGCCGCTCCAGCTCCGCCTTCAGATGCGTGTCGTCCTCCTCAGTCACTAGCCTGTCGTCAGGTCGCTGCGGCCTGAACTCTGCGCCTATGGAGATCCCAGAGTCTCTTTCGTCACTAGAGCCTTCCCCGTCCCATGAGGGTGAGGACCGGGGACCTGGCTCCTGCTTTATGTGCTGAAGGGAGAGCAGGGCGCTGGCGACATCCTTGTCACCGAGATGGGATTTATGGCGAAGTTTGAGCGGCAGCCCGTTGTTTTCAGGGGCATACTGTTCAGCGGTCTCGTCCCCTGAGCCTGAGAGAGAGGACAGCTCATAGGGAGAGGGCACGCGGCGAGATCTGGACAGGTTGAGAACTGAGCCGGGGGGCTCGTAGTGTGCAGGGTGTGGGTAGTACGCTTCGGGGGCCGGTAGCCTCTCTTGGTAGGGCTCCGGCTGGCGCTGAGGTGGCGGTGAGGGAGGCGATGCAGGTGCTGCTGGTGGTGGTGGTGGCGGCGCGGGGAACAGTGCGTTCGGCGTCAGCTTACTCCTCTTCGTGACACAGAGAACCTGGTCACATGTAGGTAGAGTGGCCAACACCTGGTCTATGCTTATGAGGGTTTCTCCACATATTCCATATTTCTCCTTTATAGCATCAAGCTGTGCTTTGAGTACGTGGTTCTCCTTTGACAGTTCAACGACGCGCTGTTCCAAAACCATGTCATTAAAGCGCCTCTTTTCTCGGGAACGCTTGGCAGCTTCGTTGTTTCTCCTGCGACGGTCCCAGTAACCATCATCTTTCTTGCTGTCGGGGATGAACTCCCTCTGTTTACGCTGACCGAAAAACTCCTTGCGTTTGAATTCGAACGGAGAGTAGTCATTTGGGTCGCCGGGGCTGCCCACGGGGCCTTGGCTCTGGTCCATTGGGAAGTGTGGGGAGACGGAGTGGCGACCTCTCGGAGGTGGTGGTGCGCGGGAAGGGGGTGGCACGGGGCCCAGGGCTCCACCACCCGCTCCGCTCAGCAGCTGCTGCTGACTCAGGATGAACTCGGCAACCATGTTTCGGCGGACGTCGATTGGTCCGCACGAATTATCACTGTGGTTCTGAAACAAGCGAAATGTTACGTTAGTTACAGTTTGTAAAAAAATTCGCTAACTGTTGCAGTTGTCTAAATAATGTCGCTGTTACAAAATCGGTCGGTTGCAAAAACTGAATGTCGCAAGATCCCGCCGCTGCAAAGTTGTTGCACGTGGATCACCTTTGTGAAATAATGTTGCCACATTTCAACGCTTTTCACTCCCTTCATGTTAGCCAAACTCATTAATAAGTCGTGTTTCTTAATTTTAGCGTGTTACAATGGATTGGTAACCAATTTTAAGGTTACACCGGATTTCTTCCGTTACAAAACTCACTTCCTATTGCTGAACGTTGATTTTGCTTAACAAGTAATGTTACGATGGACGTTTTAATACAGAATGATTGCAGCAGACTGATGTCGAAGACGACTGATGGATGATTACATGACAAATTAATTGAAATACTCACTCAAATTTAATTACGAGTAATTTTTTCAAGACGAATTTGGATCAGATATTTCGAAATTGCCTTACCATGCTTTAAACACGTGACAATTAATAATTTTCCTCCATTGGGGTTAAACTAACAATAATATTTAGGTTTCGTAACAGTCACGTTGATTTTAACGTGGGCTAAAATTAGCTGATTTGTCGACGCGTGATACGCCGAAAGCATCACTCAACACAATGTCGTTCACCTTTACGTAACGCGGCAGCTCGATAGGACAATCGATTTACATAAATCATGTACATTATTCGATTAACGATCAATTATGAGCCGGTAATACAGGAAGTGTAAAAAAATGTACCAGTACACAATTGTTATCAAGTTTATTATCCAAAACTAACAATGGTAAGGATCATTTGTAAGTGCCTATTGTGGCGACTAAGTTTGATTGTTTTTTGAAATGATTTTAAAACAATGAGAGTTGCACTAGGTTGTGCACAGAAAAAAACTTTATCACGTTTGATAACACGCGGTCCGAAGGTAGGCAACGTGAGAGTTAATTTTTTTTAAAGAAAAATTATGTGTTTTTCTCCGCATTTTGTCGGTTATAATGTGTCAAAACACGTGCGTACAATAAAAAGACGCGAATCAACCGATTTGAATTTCGAATTCAGTTTGTAAATTTCAAATTAATTTAAATTTCGAACCTATATCCGCCGCTTCGAGATTTAAACAGTAATTAATATTAAAAAGCCCATTAAGTATTAAGCGCTGAATACTCAATAGATTGGTTTCTTCAATATTTTTTTTCTCTATGTCATAAAGCAATGCCGCTTAAAAGTATGATTGTGTTATTGATACGTTCCGTTCCACGACACGACAAGATCGGTGTCAGTAGGTCGGCCCAGATGCGCCGGCGCCCGTTATGCCGTCTAACTGTTTAAATAATTGCGCCAACTTTAATTGCTATACATTGTTATTGAAAAATGACAGTGGGATCTTTGTTGTTCTTAATTATATTGGATTAAGGTTAATCAGCTCAAATCTAGGTTATAATTTAGACCAATTAAATAGATAAACTGAGAACTCAATAGTTTTAACGAAATGTTAAAATTATGCTGATTTGTATTAATAGAAGCGTGTTCCGTTAGTTCAATATTACTATATTGTACAGTTACATATAACTATTCAAACATTTTTTGTCGGTTGCCCCGTTCGAAACGCCCACTTTATTAGGTGTTAATTTAAAACAGTATTCATGATCGTAATACATGGAAATAGTTTCGTCATAACTTACGGGACTTTGGACTCGTTGGTGACATGAACTTTAAAACAAACAAACCTCTTTTGTGTAATCTATGATCACGGTTACTACCAACCTTCAAAAATGAAACGTCACTTTTTAAAGTTCGAATTGCAAATTGATCGCAATTAATTTGTGTAATAAATGCGTTTTTATACAGTAAATTATGATTTTTTGCTCCATTTGCAAAGAGATTAACAGAAAAATGTTACCGCCCGTTATGCTGTTGACGCTTGGCGGAGCACGGACAGTTAAACACCGTTTCAAACCGAACTGTTACTATTTAGCATTGGTTATAAAAATATAAGCATTGTTAACTTTTTTGTTGTTACTTTTTAATGAGGAAATTTGTTTTAATGCGTCCTCTTTACAACTTATGAGTTCGTTTCATGGATTTCTCAAACTATGATTCGCAATATCTCAAAATCTTTATTAAATTAATTAATATAGCAAATATAATTGGCTTGAACGATGTAAATTACTTTTCTGACATCGGACTGACGTGCCAATTAACACTGTAACTGTTAACCATATATCAGATTAACCAAACGTTGATTTAGAAATAAAATGTAACCGCTAAGTGATGACGACACGCTAAATAGTCGTTTCATAACAGTATTACGAGTTTTAGACATCAGTGATGAGCATAAAAAACCGTTTTTGGTTGTACCGTACGAACCCAGTTTTCGGATAACGGACCGCAGCGCGAGAAAGTACTCGATTAGTGATAACTGTCGATTGTCAAAACCCGCTTTATAGTTGCTAGCAACGTATTGTATCACCGTTAGAATGCGACTGCCATTTGCTGCGATGGGAAAATATTTGATTTCAAATAAAGAACTGATTTGAAAATGTCTAGTTTGTTCCAATCACGTTGTATAGGGCTGGACCTACGCAACACTGCACGTGGCGTAGGTCGAGAGCGGGCTTCAACACGTGTCGACCCCTCCAGTCTAAATATAGTGTAGTTTTTACTGTCTTCGCGTCTCTTATTTCCTAAATGCGTCAATTTTTGTCACGTGTGCATTGAATCATACATTCGTTATTCACTTTTTATATTATGGTAAATAATGTGCATTCGGTCTAAGGTTGCTACTTTTAAAACCGCGTCGCGTTGAGAGGGTTATGGCTATAATTTTAATTAAAAATTCGAGCACGTTTTGCCTAAAACGTGTGTTCAAGATTAAACAATGAGAAAAAAGAACAATAAAATTTATTTCGTTCAAGTGTTTGCATAAATTATATTAATTAAATTCTTTAGCTATTTTGTCACGTGTATTTGAGTCAAGATCTTAAATTGACTCTATTACAAGTTCTTTATCAGAGGCATTTCGTAACAAAGTGAGTGGTGAGGCGTCGACTGAGTCATTGTTCAAAGTTATACCCAACAAACATTGATAGCATTTATTTACATAGGAAATATTTTAGTATATTACACAATAATATTGTATATAATAATTACAGTATGATTAATTGTTCCAGATTAATTAGTTCCTGTTAAATTCCGCCGATATATGACATAATAAATGCAAATTGTTGCATAGAACATAGGTACGTTAGCGTCATAGACTATGCACGTGCTGAGGCACGAGGTTGTCTCTGATTATGTCATTAGAACCGCCATTTGAATTAGAAATAGACAAGTCTCGTGCACAATTAAACGTCTGGTATTTTTATAATCGAATTTAATTACTATTCAATGTTATTGTCGTTTATGATTAAAAAAGATTTAACATTTGAATCGATTTGTTTGAAGTCTATTTATAGTTCGTATGACCCCACACGATATCGTATCTATGGTTCGTTTTTCGATAAAGTTTTTTTTTTCGGATAGTGTTGTGTCATGTCGGAATTCAGGGAGGTAGCCCTGTGGTGACCTTAGTGATTTGTTCGTCCCTATACCTGCAGCACACGTGCCAAAGCGTGGTCAGGTCACGCGGCCATCAACACGTGTCGGTTGTACTTGAACCTCACGTTGTGTTGCGCAACGAACCGACCCAAGCACGTTTGCTCTTCTCTACATAGTTATATAAACTGCAACGTGATCGAAGAACGTGAAATTTAATTATTAATTGCCTGTAATGGCGTTGCCCTTGGCTTTGACAGTGGCATTGTTTTGATCAAACATTTACGCGGGTTTTTTTTTCTTATTTACTCTGAAATTCGATTATTTTAACAAATGCTATCTCTGTCGCTCTACTAAGTTAATGATTATACGACAGCAACTGGATTATTAACTGGATTTTTTAACTGTTAATTTAAAAAAAAACCTGTTTAACAAACTTGTAGAAATCGTGGCAAAGTCAAGTTTAATTATTGTAACATTCGTGTCAGTAGAAATAAATAACAGCGCTCTTGACCTTAGTTTAAATAATATATAATCGGCGCCATCTTGGAAAAAGTAGAGAAAGTAGTACAGCGGTAACTTTCCACGCGCTTGCCGTTTATTGCGCGGGAAAAGTGGGACGGCGGCCATATTTGATTTGACGCTTACCACCAACTATGAAATGTTAGAAATACTTTTAATACTTTTTATAATTGTCTAGGCATTTAAAGCGTGCTAGTTTATTTAAAAAAATATGTCATACATTTATTTTTCATTTTAAACATTTTTTATTGAATAATATTAACGGTAATACTAAATTGCTCAATTCAATCTTTGGCGACGTCAAGTTATACTAAGAAAAGAATACTGCGACAAATGTTCTCGCGTTCTTCCGGGTAACAGTCTCGATGAAAACTTAGCAAGAAATAGAAAATTGTTGCATAATTTACATGACGTTCCCGTTGGCGCCAATGGCTCATTGTCTGTGGTTATGAATTATGTCAAGATGTGAATGTTTTGAAAACTTGGTGCACGTCGAGTCATATGTTATGTCTTAGAATCCGTCTGTTACCGTATCCACGTTATTTTAACTTACCATCTTTGAAGTCGTGTTCCCTTGATATATTTCAAACATTTTTACAACAAATATTACACATATACTTGACCGATTTTTCGCGCGCAAGACCTAATTAAAGGCGGGAGCGTTATTTCGGTACTGGCGGCCTCTATCGGTCGACTCACGATAATGGTTTGGTGTCAAGGTTATATTTCGTAACACCGATTTATATACGTGCCAAGGCTTTTCCGCTTTTCCGGTAGAAATTGTCTTTTTAAATAAAAGATAACGAATGATAACAACTGTTTGAGTGAATCAGTTTTAAGACAAAGAGACCTAGTTACGTGGCCTTGCTCTATACCTGCTAATTGCTACATTATTAAGAAACATTTAACCTATTTCCTTGTGCTAGATTTGTGGAGTTAGTTACATAACAGGCCTGCTTCGAGGAAGTGTTGTAAGAGGAGCGAATGTTTTGTTCAATTCCGAGAGGTCATTCACAAGATAATGTTTTTGGGAGCTATTATCAGTAGTCATAATATCAACTGTCATTATCGTTTCTGACTCACGGGGATTCCCATTAAATTTAAATCGTTGTTCGGAAACAACGAATGCAAATGTCCTAGTTTGCTCGCTCGGTGTCCAAATCATCAATCACTGATATTTCGGAGCTTCTGTGTCCACAATGGGCCACGTCACAGCGGTCCACTTCATCGCAATTGGTTGTACACATTCACGTGCGCATCACTAAGTAGGTTACAGTTACGCAGTGAGCGAGATAAAAAAAATAGGTCAAGTTATCTTTACTTGTCCTCGCGCCGATGAAATTATCGCTCTTGTTATTGCGCGTGAAAAAATCTACTTACGTAACTGTTGTATAAAAAGCATAATCCAGGCAAATATGTTGGGGTTACATCCCAATGTCGTACATTTATAATTTCTGTAACCCTGGCTGGATTTTTCTTTATCTTTAGCTAATATTTACTAACGTATTTCGGTTAATTGGGTGACGGTCTTAGCGAATGGTGTCAGAATGTAATGTTTACTTAGGTATCGGTTAGAATGACTCAATTATGACTGGATAACGATAAATGCATGTCGATTTGCGGTTAAATAAACGTTGTGACCTTACAAGCGTTTGTATTGCTTTCCGTACAACCTTGTGTTTAGTTCCGTATTACATCACATGCCTACAATGCATTTCGTGATAAGTCTATCTACCTGTTCGATACGCCTTTGTTCGATTGTGTAGCTATAAATTAAAAATGTATTTTCGGTGCGTTTTACGGAAGTTTTAAGTAAACAAGATAACAAAAAAATGGCAGTCGTAAGAAGCAATGTGCTTGGAACCTTCATTTGTCTTTGGTCGATTTTGACAGTTGAGAGTTCGTTGAACTCTCGCCATTTTTGCTCTTTAGCGGACTTTGGCGTGGGCTCGTTAGTTTGTACGTTTAGTACGTGGTAGACATCACGTTGTATTGCAGTCGATTGCGCAACACACACCCTAGGGGTTACGTCATCGTATTGGCGACCTTTGCAGGCGATCGATTGTTGCATTCATACTGCATGTCTATGGAACAGGTGGTAGTAAAATTGCAGTAGGGGTGGGAAATGACAACATGTTGTTTGGTGTTCATATTTTTAACGATTTTTTTCTCTATTTGTTCTTTTAAGTTTTTTTTTCTGCTATGGGAATTAAAGCTTTGCTCTGATTACAATTTCTGTTAAGAGAGAAAATATTTTAGTTATATCTTTTATATTTTTTGAATTGTTAATATTGTGCAGTATAAATATCTATTACGATTTATTATGTAAAAATATTTCTGATTGTTTAAGTAAATGTCTCTAATATTGTTTATTACTTTGTAACCACTTCGATAAAATTAATTTACAAAAAATATTGCAACAAAAACTACATCCTAACTAACACACTACATGCAACGCAACAACTACAAAACAATAAAGTGCAATATTAACAAAAAATCTAGTTTCCGTACATCCGCGGGCGAATGCACGCCGGATCGGAACCTTGAACCACTTGTGTAAGCAACTCACAATGGCTTACGACAGAACGGTGCCAGGCGCAACTTACGACACCAGCCAACGCAATCCCGCAATTAAACTGACTACATACTATTACTTGTACTTTACCAACATTACAACACAAACGAAAAAAAAAATCCGAAAAAGTCACGAAAAAAATAAAAATGACACAGCACTATTCGGCAAACCGTTTATCAGATTATTTCGTAACATGTTAGATAAACGAAACACAGGATAGTACTCGTAAACAATTGTAAAAAAAAAGAAACGTATTGTATACGCACATACATAAAATGCGACGAAAACATTATCGAGGAAGCAGTAATGCAAACAAAAGAACGAAAACAAGGTGAAACATTGAGGGCCGTCATTGAGGAGTTTCAAGAACATACAGAATTTAACAAATAAAATGATTAACATTGCCGTTTTGGCACAGAACAGACGAGATGAGTAAACATTTTTGGTTGCGATGTCAATGACTCTGTATGAGGAAAACGGAAAATATTTGTATCTACTGCATTCTCTATTCCTAAATAATAATATGTTTTTAAAATTACTATACGAATTAACGTTTGGTTGGTATCGAAATTGAAATTCGTTCGAATTTATTTTTCGAGAACCTAAAATTTTAATATTTTTGATTTAATATTATTCGTCAAGTTTTTTATTTATATATCTGCAAAATATTGTTTGTTTTCATTTGCATTATCATGTAAATAATCTATTATTTTAATTTTGTTGTTTATAATTTATACTATCTTGAATTTCACATCTAATAATCGAAATCTTTCCTGACTCTAATCCTGCTCTAAATTTGTTAATTGAACGGAATTCATTAATTGTAAACATGATTTCGACTAGAAAATGAAAAGCGCTTCTAATTGGACTTGTAAAATTTTTCGAAAAACTTTGAAAAAATTTCCAACATTCACTTTTTGCACGAAACTCTACAAAACAATAATATAAACAAACAAATAAGATACTTACAAAAATATTTGCGGTGTTTTTGCACTCCTTATCCGGAATTATCCAAATCGTGGGTACAATATCATAATCCACAAAACAGTAATTCACAACGTCCTTATCGCTCACAGTTAGTTTATAAACAGTAAATAAATATAAAATTCAAATGTTTCACTCCCACTAAATCACGTCCTGAATGATTTTTGTCACTATCACAATGTTTGTATGACGAAATATCCACTGCGTATGGCGCTGTGTTCCAATCGCTTGGACAGGTCCGTACTGCGTGAAGTCTCGAGTGCGACTAAATTTTGTAGTGGGGTCGCTCTACACCCAGCCTGCAACACGCACACATCGACACCGCTATCGTAGTGTGCGTCACCGTGAGCGTGTGTGAGTGCTCTGCGCTTGTGTAGGTATATTTACGTAATGCCCTGACGGAGTTCGTATAATCACTTTAGCCAGTATTGAGTCAATGTGCCCGATTTTTTAGCTAATTCACAACTATTGAGTCATATGTTTGTCGCTTTTTGCGTTTTCCATGAAATAATTTAATCGATTGATAAGCGTTCGCTTTAGTTTTGGACAATTACGTGGCGTAAGAATTCGGTCTAGTATTTTACGGCATTACAATTTTTAACTACGAAAAGTTGAGTAAATGTTAATTTTTAAAACGGTTTATCGGTAATGGATTTTCGTAATTGACTATTGGCTGTTTGTTACAAAGTACTTTGTTTTCAAAATATTTCGTAATTTCGTTTCTATTTTGACGAATTATCTTTGTTTGTTCCTTTGTTTTAGCTTCGTATTATTTTTATTGGAGTAAGTAAACAAGATAGTGGAGTATTATTATTAATAATACGCAGTTTAGTGTTTTTCGTATTTTTCTATTTTTCAGGGTGCTACGTGCTACGCAATTGCTACAGCGTAGCAGGTCTACGAATATTAGATAAAAAAGTAATTAATATTTTCATTAGATTAATTATATTTAAGCTATTGTGTATTAAATTGGTACAGATTTAAGCTTAAGCCTTACTTACATTGATTAATAATCCAATTTAATTTATTATAGGTATTTTGTAAAAACCTAGACTTAATTTCCAGGAATTTATAACAGGTTACTTCCAATACGAGATTGTTCGTCATAACCAGTAGGTAATATTACATCAAAATAAGGAACTATTGCGAAACGGTCAAGCGTGAGTTGTATCCACGTCATAGGTTTATGACACCGGTTGTAACAAAGGTTGTATTTTGTCCCGACAAGGTTGAACTTGTTATTGTATTTTGACGTGTTTATGACTATGACTAATCTATGACATGTTGTCTGGTTTACAGAATATTTAGATGTTTATCAAAAATAGGTTTACAAGGAAATTAGATATAAACAGTGTTACAGTTATTCAGTATATTTTGACGGACAGGTCTGAATGATAAGATAATGGTAATATTTTTCGAAATTGACGATTTTATTATTTGCGGCGTGAATTATCATTGATAATAATTGCGTTCTATACACTACCTTATTGGTCTGGTCTAGAGGTCATGAGTACAATTCTGAGTTGAGAAAAATATTATTGTGTGTTTGATGAGTTCACTGCCTCGTTGTTCGTGTGGCACTGTTTGGAATCTTCGGCAAAATATTACTGAATATTTTTAATACTAGATGTATGACAATGGTGTCATCCTTTTACTATTATGAGATTTTTAACATAATTGACGAAACATGGATCTGATGTTAAATGTTATGTTAAATTTACAATAACTATGTGGTTAAAAATTCAGATTAAATACGATAAAAGATCTGGTTAATTATAAAATCGAAACTAATGTTTAGTTTGATTCGTTTGTCCTTTCACGGAAACGGGTGACATTGTGGTTTTCCCGCACACACATGCTCTATTTCTGTAGATTAACCATAGTTATGTAATTGATAGAATAAAGGGGAACTTTGTATACCGTGTGTTTTGGTGAATCATTATTATTAATTATTATTATTGGTAATATAATATTTTGAGGTGGATTAGTTCATTAAGTGATGTGACTGTTAAATGTGATGTATTGGGGTTTGA